CTGCTTTCTTTTCAAGAACTCTCCATAGCACTTCTCTTGGAACTTTATCATATGCTTTTTCTAAATCAATAAATATCATATGTAGATCCTCCTTATTTTCTCTATATTTCTCCATCAAACCTCTTAATAAATGTATGGCTTCCATAGTCGACCTACCCGGCATGAATCCAAATTGATTTTGAGAAACATTAGTATCACGTCGCAACCTATGCTCCATAACTCTCTCCCATAGTTTTAAAGTATGACACATTAACTTAATACCTCTATAATTCGCACAATCTTGTGCATCACCTTTATTCTTAAAAATAGAAATTAACACACTCATTCTCCACTCATCTGGCATCTTCTTAGTCTTCAAAATAGTATTAAAAAGTTTAGTAAGCCATGAAATTCCTTCATCTCCTAAGCATTTCCACACCTCTATTGGAATATCATCAGGTCCAACAGCTTTTCCACCCTTCATTTTCTTCAAAGCCTCTCTAACTTCAGTTTTACTAATACGCCGATAATAACTTCAGTTTCAGTGATAAATGTAAAGAGAGAATAAATAAAATTAGAAACATTGAAATGTGTAATAAAGAAAAAACTGTAGAACTTGAATGCTTAATAAACTTCCATAGCCTTATCAATAGGCCAAGTAATTCTAAAGGTAATATTATTGTGGTCATACTTAAAACAATGTGATAGGAAATAGTAATGAAACAAGAGAACTGTGCTGAATTCAGAATTTCAACAATATTCAAAGTAGGTTTTGAAGTTTATAGATAAAATGCAAGGAAATACACTTTTGATTGAATAATAGATGAAAGAAACAACACGGTACAATGGATCTTCGATTTGAGAGGAAGATCCAGCTCTCTCAATCCCTAGCCGATGACTAGAGCACAAACAACACCAAGAGATCCCAAATTTCAAACCAAATTCAAGATGAAAACCTTCTCTAGGAAGAAAAACTACTTAAAGAAAAACACAATTAAGAAATCCCTAAATAACCCTTAAATTTGAATTTTTTTCTCCTAAATGCTTCACTAATTACAACCATTACTCTCTATTAAACCAACTGGGCCCCACAATGCCATCCGCCTCCTTATTGGGTAGGAGTTCTATTCCGCTTAGAATAGAACCGAACCGATCCAAAGTTTTCAAACCAAATTCAAGATGAAAACCTTCTCTAGGAAGAAAAACTACTTAAAGAAAAACATAATTAAGAAATCCCTAAATAACCCTTAAATTTGAATTTTTTTCTCCTAAATGCTTCACTAATTACAACCATTACTCTCTATTAAACCAATTGGGCCCCACAATGCCATCCGCCTCCTTATTGGGTAGGAGTTCTATTCCGCTTAGAATAGAACCGAACCGATCTAAAGTCGGTCCCTAGACCGGCCTAACACAAATACACAATGAAGCCTTTGTATAAGATGCTGTTAATAGACAAGACAGGTTGAGCATCCCCGGGCACACTAAATAATCTAAGTTTCATGTCAGTATATGTTCAAGATATAGCCAAACAAAGAAAAGCAATATGATTTAGCAGAAGAATGATAAAAATTTCCAGGCCAGAAACTTTGAAGTTAAAACTTAACAAATGCTGATGATCATCATCAACATTAGCCTTATCCAAATAATTTGGGGTCGGTATTATGAATGCTTATTTTATATTCAATCATGTTCATTGTTATCTGAGGTGTTCAATTTATTCTTCAAAAATCCCTTTGAACATTTTGCATCCATATAACTTTAGGTCTAATTATAATCCAATTTATTCTTATTTTATATTCTCATAATCCATACTAATTTTACTAACTCATCTCACAGGTGCACTATCTACCATTCATTACACATGTATAAATCACCAAGTTTATTTTCAACAATCTTATTTAAATTGATGTTAATCTTTTCTCTAACATAATCAATCCAGAATTTATTCTTTCCAAATTTACAATACATTAGTCTTGATATTCTTATTTTTATCATACTCAACTTGGATATCAAGAACATTTTAACAGCAAATAACTTGGATTCATACATCACACCCTAATTGCAATTTAATAACTTATCTTCAAGATTCCATGATATTCTCTTATCATAAAAAAACCCCTTGAGGTACTTCTTCATTTTTACCATCCAACTTTAAACTCTAGAACTAAGATGCACAGACACGGATACGGCGACACGGATACGACACGACACGGACACGGAACACGTCAGTTATTGAAAATATAGGACACGGATTGGACATGGTATTATAGTTTTTATATTTAAAAAGTAGTTTATAAAATTTAAATAAGTATAATTTTAAAAATAATTTGAAAATATAAGTCATTTAACTAGAATTTGTGCTTAAAATGATTAGTATTAGGTTGTCGAGAGTCAAGCGTCGATGTCATTTATCAGTCACCGAAAAAGGAGATGAAAATACCTTCACTGTCAAAAAGAAATGAAAATGAGAATATTCGATGATTGGTTATTAAGCGCGGACGTTGATTTGGTATTGTGGATAGGAAATAATAAATTTAGTTTAAATTCCGCAAAATACAAGAAATTATATTTAAAAAAATTCATAAAATACTTAAGATATGCGTGTCAGACACGCGTGTCCAATTTGTATTTAATATTTTTTTAATATGACACGTTTTCGGCGTGTCCGACACGTGTCGGAGGAGAGTCGTGTCGGACACTGCACGCCTCTTTGAGGAGAAGTGTCGGTGTATCATAGCTCTAGAAATTACATCCTAATATATATTTTTATTCTCCATATAATAGATTCAAAATCCTTAAACTTATCACAACTATCTATCACCATATATTTTAACAATATTAAATCTAATTTTTAACATCAAGCATATTAAAATTATATATCACATATTCAATCTTTGTTTTACAAATTCCAAGGCCTGTATATGCTAAATATTTTCACTATTTTTATAATTCCTCACCAATTAGAACTATGTCAATTGCAAAAAGTATACATCTGTGGGAAAGTAAAATACGCAACAAACACAAATAAGAAATAGAAAATTGCAGCATAAATAAAGAATACAAGGATTTAATGTGGAAAACCCCAAAATAGGAGAAATCCACGGAGCCAATATACAACAAGAAATTCACTATGAAAGTTGGGAGAAATAGTACAAATCTCTCTTCTCTCTCACTATCTTATTGTCTCTCTTCAACCTTGCACTATTCTCTCATGAGAACAAACAACGAGAAACTTACATTAACTACCAAGGGACGCAACCCTCGTGAAGAAAAGAAAGAATAATGCTAGCCCATCTCGCAGCGCCGCGACGCTTAACTCTCTGTCTCCTATATGCCTGACATCGCCACAACGTAAGGGTCTAGAGCACCATAGCGCTCCCTGGCAGCGCCATAGTGCCAGGGTTTGTAATGCTCCACTCTCTGTTTTTCTCCATGCAAACTACAAAGCGCCACATCATTGTGCAGAAATGAAAAACGGGTGTAAAGCACCTTTAACCCAAACAGGAGGGAGGACCCCCTTGCAAACCTCGGCGAGCTCGACCGATGGAATTGAGGTCCGAGACAACAGTACAACACGATATATCGGCACAATCAGACTCCACACAAAACTAATAATATCAATACAATCTTGCTTTTAATATCCTTTATATACATCTACAATATCAATACAAAATAGATATGGATTCAATGTTGATCATTAATATAAACCTATGATAATTGAAAACACACAAGTCACTCCACTATTTATAATACTAGTTAGTGGTCTATCATGCATATCTTTAATAATATCAACATATTTTTGGCAAATACATTTTCATATTAAATTGCACAAAATTAATTCTCATGGCAGTCGATCATATGCCTTCTCAACATAAATACGAAATTATAAGAAGATTCTTTCTTGGTTTTTGTTAGGCCGGCCCAGGAGGAGCTGGCTGGACCGGTCCTGTTTTACTCCAGGCGGAACCAGGGAAAGGGAGAGGGCGGAAGCCTTGTGGGCTCTAGCTTGCGTTAAATCAAGTTTTGGGAGGGAAATTTTTGAATTATGGGTGGTTTAGTAAATTTGTAATTTTCCTTTGTTTTTAATTATGGGTTAATGGGAGAATTATGGTTTCATCTTGAATTTGAAAGAGAATTTGGGATCCTCTTGGAAGTGTGGGCTCTAGTCTTCTTGGTTAGAGATTTTGGAGAGTTATTCTTCCTCTTGAATTGAAGAATATTGTATCATTGCTGTTTTTATTCATCTTCTAGTGGAATACAAGTTGTTTGCTTTGATTTCCTTCAGATTTATCTTCAATTTCTCTGTTTTTCCATTGGTTTGGGCTATTTTCCTGCTGTAAATAGCAGCCCCTTTGATGTGGCTTCATCAATTTGGGTTGGGATTGCTTGCGAACTCAAGTATTAACTTAGGGTTACTTGCTAACTTGAGTACTTCCTATCAAATTGGTATAAGAGCGTCGTCTTGGGATCATCGGCAGCTGAAATTCTGAAATTTCAACGGGTTTTTGGCGTCCATAAGAAGATCTCTTGTGATTCTTGGGAAGAAAGATGGCCGGGAAGAAGGTTGAAGTCTTGGAAGGCGAAATCGGATAATTAAAATCATATTTGGAGGGAAAATTCTTTGACTTTCAAAATCAAATCACATCCAACAATGAAAGGTTGGAAGGGAAGTTCATTGTGATGAAAGAGATGTTGAAGAAATTACTTGAGATGAAGACCAATTCAATGACATCGGAAGCAAGAGAGGCCAGCGAAGGCCATGGCGTAGGGGAAATCCGAACCTGTTTAGGGTGAAGAAAAATCCATAAGTGGAGATCCTTGAGGGAGAGGACGACATGCCACCTATAGAACCACTTTCTAGAGAGGATAGATATGGAAAGAGGGGTGCTGATTTTGTGGGAAGAAAGGGAGATCTCCACCACCGAGGGTGGAATTTGAAAGGAGAAGAGGGGAAGTTGATGATGAATATGGATTTGATCGCCGGAGGGAAGATAGAGACAGCTGGGGAGCACCTCCCATTCGCGGCATGGGAGGATACGGAGGAGCCAGGGGCCATTGGGGTGACCCAAAGGTGAGAAAGCTGAAGATGCCCGTCTTTGAGGGCAATGATGGCCATGGGTAGATCTACAAGGTGGAACGTTATTTTTCCGTCAACGAGCTGACAGAGCAAGAAAAGCTAACAGCGGCAGGACTATGCTTGGAGGGAAAGGCACTGGCTTGGTACCAATGGCGGGACATGAGGCAACCCATCATGAGTTGGAGAGAGTTCAAGGAGTGCTTATTGGAACGTGGAGGAAGAAGAAGAGAAGTTACACCTGGATGTAGCTGAAGTCTCTCTAAACTATGTGGTTGGATTCACACCAAATCACACCATCAAGGTGAGGGCAGAAATAGGGAATCGGGAGGTAGTTGTGCTGATCAATGGTAGGGCCACCCACAATTTCATCTCTAACCAGATTGTAAATATGTTGGGGGTGAAATAAGTGGACACGGGAGGATATGGAGTGATGATGGGCAACAAAGAAGTGATGATTAGATGGAGAGGCGTCTACATTTGTTTTTAGATCAATCTAAAAATCCAAACATACTTTACTATTTTGTTCCAATGCTCTTTCCGAACTTAATAAATGATAGAATCAGTAAATAAAAGAAATCAACTACTTTCCATATATCTGAGAGGACATACTGATCATTCACATTTATTGACACATGTTTGAATTTTGTCAATCATCAAAAACCTTTTGAAGGTATAGAATCACAGAATAGAAAGACGATGCATGAACAAAAGTTTGCTTATTGTTTAGTAAACTAAGAAATATCATGATCAATGTATTAATATTAACTATAAATCCTACCTAATCCACTTTCATACGGCTGCAGCTAGAGCAACAATAAACCTCACTTTACAAAAGACTAATGCATCATAAATATACTTGCAAATCATGCGTAGGCCTCTTTATAATGACTTTATAACTGTTAAAAAAGCTATTACATAACAAGACGGCAAAAGTTATTCAAAAGTAACGCGGTTTAATCTGGCACATTCATGGCAGGTCACAGGTGTAATACAATGAATCATACTGGAGCAGATATGGATAAGAAATGCCAAATTGACACTGAAACAATAAAAGATGGCTCACTTCTTCATGAACCGGAGCGAGACGAGTATACTCAGCATTTCTAGACCCAACAGGAGAACCAGTATCATCAGCATCTGATCCTGATTCAGCTGTTGATGTGCTACTGTAACTTGCCTGCCATTGCAAGTCAATATTCTTAGAAAGAAACTTAAAAGGTTGGTTGATGCATATAATCAAGGCAAGAAAGGCTAAAAACAAATCTCACGTTCAGCGGTCGTAGTGCTTTGCAAGACTTGCTTCTTTGTTTTCCATAAGATTCTTGTCTGACTTGCCTCATAAAGGATACATCAACATTACGAGCAAGCTAGAAAGAATAAAATAAAATAAAATAAGTATATTCATGACCCTTTTAATAGGTAATCTTGCTTCTTATTGATCACAAGTAAAATACTTAAATATTATGCAAATTTTGTAGGTTAGGGTAGTCAATCATGAGTGTTGTTTCTGACCTTCACGATAACAGGATCATTCCACGGTCCTCTATTGGACTTAAGGCAGCCTCCGGAATCAGAACAAGTGCACAAACCACCAAAGAAATCAGGAAGTTGGCTGGGTTAAGGAAACCTCTGATTAATTGAGTTGATAAAATGATAATTAGAAAGCCACTAGCTAAAAGCAGTTAAAGACGGACCTTGCATCAATTGCTTCAAGCAATCTACTCTGATATTTTGTTCCAAGTAACTGTAATCATATTTCAGAGTATAATTATTCTATTATTCAAGAATGCAGAAAAAGAGAGACGAAGGCTTTGTTTGGGACGGTTTTCTTACAGCTTCTTAAAACAACTTTCAAGTACAAAAATCCAAAATTTTGTACTAAAAAACTGTTTTAAGAAGCAATAAGAAAGCCGTCCCAAACGAAACTGAAAAGAATGACTTAATTATGATGAGGAGCATACCTGTATTTTTGAAGAAGTTCTGGGGTCAAGAAAACTCTTTACTGTGTTCCATATGAGTTTAAACCCTGGGCCGGCATTCACAATGAACATCTGATGTAATGTCTGCACAAGTAAACAGCATAAATAGCTGCGTCAAGATAATCTATCCTGGAAATCCTAAATGGAAAGGAAGATGAGTGTCTATAACCACCTCAGGATAGTAATCACCATCTATTTTCTGAATATTCATCAAAAGTTCTCTAACTGTTTTGCTCCAATGTTTCCATCCCTAAATATTCCGATCAAATAATATCCATATTTAACAGGATTGCATCTAACAGAGGCACATTGATTTACAAGATAAATTCAAAGAAACTAAAAACAAACATACCACACCCTGTACATCCAATATTGTTGTTGTTGTGTTAATGTGTCTTTTCGCTGCAACGGAACAAGCAGGAAATTTTTGAAGAAATGCTTTCTCAAACTCTTGTACATGATATTTTAGGTATCGTTCCAAATTAGTAATGTGCATAAGCTTGCTTGGCTCAATTTTTCCAAGTCTCTCAATATATACTGGCCTGCCCTCTCTATCAACGCCATGGTAACCTTGAGGATAATAGTGAAGTACTTTGTCCAGCTCCTCAAATTTGAAATCCTTAAATTGAAACATATATCATCCGATTATGGAAAAATTTACAAGTGATGGAATATAAGGGCAACTTTTTTTAAAACTTTATGCAACTATTTGAACATTGAATGTATAGCTAAATTACATGGTATTTGTTATTTGACAGTTTATCCTTTTTGAAACAAAGCTCACAAGTAGAAAAAAAAACTAAAAAAAACATAAAAAATAGCAAATAAGTAATGAAATTTTCGTAGAGTAAAAAGCATCATAGCTATGCAAAGGCTTCAGCTAAAACCTTTTCTATTCCATTAAATACATCAATTCAAACAACATAGTATAATTGTGCTAAAAAAATCATGCAATAATTCAAACAAAAGCAAAATTTATTTTGAAAATGATAGGAAACAAGCACAAACACTATGGACATTTTTTTTTCTATGTTTCTCTCTGCCGCCACACTGTTCTTAACTATTTGTTTTTCTTTGCAAGGGAAGCAGCCTGTGATTGCCTTAGAAGTCTAATTTTACGAAAGTAAATTGCGCATAAATGATAATCTCACCTCCACTATTGTGTCGGTTCCAAACTCTTTTCTCCAGCGAAGCATCTCATGCCACATCTGTGTTGTTTTTGAAAAATCAAATTTTCTTGCTTTCAGAAACCTGCTTTGAACAAATAAATTTGGTTTCCAGTTTCAGAAAAAGTTTCAATGGTAGACTTTTTTTCATCGCATCATAAGATGCATGCCTTATTGAATGAAACCGCATGCAGCGTTGATTTTGTTAAGCATGAAATAGGCGGATGTGAACTGAATCAAACCTGAGTAGTGTATGATAGTCATCATACTTATTTGGCAACAAATCTTTAGCAAGGAGTTCTTCACGAAAGGCATAGACATAACGTTCTTCTTCAACGTCCCTAACATCCTCAATAGAAACGGAGAAGTCTCTGAAATCAACTTTCCTCTTCCCTCTTTTCTTAAGAGAATGTGTAAATTTAGTAGAGGCGTCCAAAGCTTTTTTCTTGAGGGATCCCATCTTTGTTTTCCTTCTGTCATCCTCAGAGTTGTCCACATCTGACCTCCGTTGTTTCCTCTCATCGTGAGAAAAGGATTCTTCTAGTCCTTCGCAATAGTATACTGGAATAGGAAAATAATATGTCCATAAGTTCCAAAAAAGGGAATAACTTTAAGAGCAGAATTTCGTTTGTTCGTTAATGAAAAAGCGGAGAAAACAGTGTATTAACTCGGCATTTATTCGGCGGAGGTTAAACAGATCGACTATAGGCTCAGGCTTTAGAAGACATGACCTGCAACAGCAACTCGCACAAATTAATAATTAACAGATTTTAATCCGAAAAAAATATCGAACAGCTTCATCGATGGACCTAAAACTATCAGACGAAATACGTGTACTATCATTCCCCACACAACTCCAGGGAAGAGCAGAGATCAGTATAGCAACACCGCACATTTTAACCTCCCAAACCCAAAAGAATGCCCAAGGAAAAAAAATCAGATGGAAATGAAAAAAAAAAGCAGTTTACTTTTTCATTAAAATTCCTCCCTCGATGGATCACAGCACAGAAAATGATCACCCAAACATAAACCTAGATTGAATAGTCAGTCCTGCTGCATGACGGCCAAAAGGAATAGAACAAACAAGTAGTACAGAGCTTAGTTCTCATCTTAAAGAGCAGCATTAAGAATCAAAAGTCATCAATTAATACTTAAAAGAAGAACTCCGAAAACCAGCTATTTGTTAGGCGTTTGCTCAATCCTAAAAATAATGAAAATTTGACCAGCAAAACCGGCAAGAATTAAAAAAAAAATATCCCAAAATATCACTTGAAACCGCAAGAATCCCCACTACCGCATAACAAACTCTCATATAGTGACTATCCATGAACTCACATAAAACAAAAAAAATGATCCCAGATCCAAATCCTCAAGACCCACAGCACTGCAAGCAAATCTAACCACGATTCGCCAAAACCAAAACATAACTCTCAAGCCCGATCCATAGTCAAACCTCCCAGAAGAAGAAAAGGATCTCTCATCCATACCTCCGATCTTTCCCCCCTGGCCGGAGCTGCAATCACTCGCCGACGGCGAGAACTCACCCCTTTCCAACTTCAAGAACAAAATCAATCGATTTGCATGATCTGATCTTTCAGCATCCGAAACGGTGATAACCGAAAAGAGAGATTAATTCGATATATTCCTTGCCTTCACCTCCCTTTCCGTTTCCTTCTCCCTTTCAAGGAGAAGAATTCGAAAATAAAATGTGAAGAATACTGAACCTTTGTTCTACGGTCTACGCTCGTCGAATATATACGCTTATGATGCGCAACGGAATTGCACGATCGCCGAGTTATAAGAATTCCACGGCGCGCGGAACGGAGTACGGTTTTCTCGCCAAATTCCAACAGTGGATCGACCGGTTCCGTCAGGACAACTCCGGTTCACCTGTTGGTAACCGCACATGGAGTGAGGCTGCGCTTAGGGAGTCCCGCCACATTTGACGGTCGTGATGTGAGTGGGTAGAAAGGTCAACTAAGGATTTCACGGTGAAGGACATGCGTAGGCGCCTACATATTCTACCGGTACGGTAAGCAGATCGGAGTGCTTTTGTCGCGTGCCGTAGGTTTTTTAACCAACGCCGAAGTCAAGTTAATCACACAGCTCAACTTGATAGGTTAATTGAGAATTTAGACTATAATTAAAAGGGGCTTGAGTATATATATGAATCTATTTTAATTGAACTAAATGTCAAAAAAAATTATTTAGTTTATTTTTCATTAAAGAATTAATTGAAAATCAAGCCTAATGATATAGGTTGAGAGGTCACATAATTATCTAGGTTTAATTATGAACTTTTTATAAAAAATTATTTTATATATAATAAGTAAATCAACGACCAGTAGCCAGCCATTGATCTTGATAGAAGAATCTATCTATATCCGGGAGGAGAGGGATTCAGCCCATCGCACCCGATTCAATATTTTAACTTAAGTAAATTATATACTAAATTCAAAAATGTAATTTCATGTTTATAATAGAATAACATTGAAATTAATAATTTTAATTTTAATTTAACTAAATTTAATATTTAAATTAATTATCAAATTTATTGAAGCTTGAATTATAAATCCTTCTTCATCATCTTAATACTATAATACATGTATCCCATAATTATTATAGATTAATTGAATATTATTGTTAAAAATATGACATAATGTAAATTTTAAATTAAGATTCCTTTTGTAACAACTTAATATTATAATAACACATTTTTTTATATTATATAAACTAATAAAAAAAGATATGTCATGAATAGATAAGTATTTTAATACTAAAAGATGTTTCATGAATAGATGTGTCTAATACAAAATTGTGCATTATGAAAAGAGGTGTCCAAATTAAAAAAAAATGTAAACTTCTTTAATAAAAAATAGTTCAAGTTCTATAAGATGGAATGAGAGATAATTACTCTCTGAGTATTTTATAATTTAGACAATAAAATTGTATTAAGAATGCAAATTGAATTCATAATAATATTATGTCAAGAACATAAAGTGAATTAAAAAAAGAAAGAGTGTTCATCAATATATAATTGAATGTGTCTACTGACTAAGGCTTCATTTGGTTACCCGATGCCTTTTGTAGAATGTAATTTTAAAAATTTCATTTGAGAGAATGAAGATTTCTAACTGAGAAGCAAATACTAAATAAGCTTTTAAAAAGAGTACAAAAATGAAGTTCCGTAAAAGCAATTTTACAAAAGAGCCACATACAAATAGCAACCCAAAAATAACTTTATTTTTTTAAAATAGAAAAAGCAAAATTAAGTCGTCTCAAACATTTCTAAAATATATTTGGTGAGGTGATTAGAAAAAAGACTTACGATCTCAATAAATATTTTGATAATTTTTTTCTCTATTTCTTTTGAAATAAATTTTAAAAAAATAATTTTGAAAATTTTCAATTTAATTTTATATATTTTGTTTTTTATTTCCTCATTTATATATTGGATGTTTTAAATCCAACACCAACTAATTCTTCTTATCAAATTAGTATTCTGAAAAAATTTACATACAATCTTATGGATTCTGCACCAAAACTAAAAACATAAATTCTATACATAAATAACTAAAATAAAAATATATTTATCAAATTAAAATACAATAAAATTTGATTATTCTTTTGTAGCACAAAATAATTATCTTATAACTATTATACAAATATCTTTTAATTTCTCTCCCTCAACATTCTCCCCCTCGATTTTGCAAATATTTTCCAAATCTTTCGCTGGACGGAAATCCGTGCTCTCACTTTCGATGACGTCTGTAATTGTCGGTTGGGTCAACTGTTTTGGTCCCGATAGGCTGCAGCTTATTTGAGCTTCGATTATATCTCGAATGAGGCCCTACTCCTTGGGACCCGAAATAAGAATCCATTACGTGGCGCATATTGAGGGGTCCATCGCTGGGGCGGGATCATCCAGGTTGACCTTGAAGAACTTATGGCGGAATTATTAGTGCATTTAATGGAGGGAATTTGTAGCAGAGTTACACTGCCTTCTTCGTTCCCGTCGAGTCCAGGTGAGTTGATGATTCGCGTTTCCATCTTTTTGTCTTAGTAACTTGTTTGGGGATCAACCGAGTCAAGCTTATTCATGAGTCTGTTCTGGCTCGAATAGGTAATAGGTTAGACGAGTCAAGCTCGAACATGTTTTCGACCTCGCTGAGAAGATTGTGCAATTGTGGGCTTGAAAAATGTCTGGTGGGCGGGAAAAAGAAACTTGGAGTCCGAGCATACCTCAAGATGGAGTGGACTGTGGAACACCCGATGCGACCTCGGGACGAAGCAGCGAGATACGATGCGGCTACGAGATACGACCTCGGGGAGTCGACGGACCTCGGGACGGAACTGACTAACGAAACCAAACCTCGTGACGGACGTGGCCAATGCGACTGGACCTTGTGACTGAACTGTTGAATGAAACCAGACCTCGGAGACGAAACCCGACGATCGTGTTACACGACCAGACCTTGGAGATGGTGCTGATGAACGCGACCGGACCTCGGGACGAAGACTCATGAGCCGCTCGACATGAGAGGAGTCCAGCTCGAGCTCGACTCGTTGGGACCCCTAAAGTGGGTAAATATATCATAAATGAATGCAAAAAAAAGCTTAAAATGTTAAAAATTATAATTAAAATCTCAGCATTCAATTTCTCTTATATTATTTGTTCTTTAACATTTAATTTTAAAAAAATATATATTTTTTCATAAATTAATTACGGAAATTTGTAGTGATTAACGTAATAATGTAATCAGGGGCGGAATTTTTTTTTTTTTTTGTAATTTTGGGGGGGTTTTTTTTTTTTTTTTTTTTTTTTGAGTTTAGGTATTATAAAATAATAAATTAATGTAATAAATATTTAAAGCTTAGACTTCAATGACAGAGAAAATATATTTTGACTATTAAAACCACGGACTACAAACCACCACAAATGAATCAACTCCATGAATTCAACATTGGACCACTCTACATAAATATAAATTTTGAGAGTGACATTCTTTATAAATATAGCCAACATCTAAAATACCCTATCAAACGGTTCGTATTGCTTTCTTTAATCGTAGACTCTCCTTTTATTAATTATTTTAATGATGTTGAAATTAAGCTATAATGGACTCATTGGATTCATCTTATTGAGATGCTCAATTTAATTTTAATACTATAATATTTGGACTTTTGGAGATTATTTAGGGGTTGTTAGGTTAGAAGTAAAATATGTGTAAAACATTCCAAATGCAGAGGTTTTGAATATATTAGTGCTTGATTGAATGAAAAAGAAATGCAAACAAGAGTAAAGTAAATATAATGTAAACTAGTTTAATTAACTTTTTGAGATAAACTGAACTCTCCCGATTTTGAGCAGGAACCATTTACACCCGCTAACAAGCTAGCTTGATCGCGATCACCACGGCACCACCCATCGCTGATTGCCACCTGTCGGCCACCACCTCCCTCCACCGGCCACAATTGTCACTATTACTGGAATTTATACTACATAATTTTATTTCAAAAAAAATATTTGCATTTACTTTACACTCATTCAAATAACTCTGAAGTATTAACTTTACACTCATATATTCAAATAACTCTGAAGTATTAGAACTCACATTGTCCTAAATTTCATTCTAAAATACTTCAATTTGAATAATTTTAGGAGATTCAAACTGGATCAAATGAAATTTTTATGACACATCAAAATTATATTTTTTTTATTCATTTGTCAATGCCTAGGCACTATGGATTTTAGTCAAATTTTTAATATTTTAGCCAACTATATTTATTATTTAGATAATAATGTTTATTGTTCACCAAAATATTTTCTATAGTGAAATATTTGAGAGTTTTTATCTTAGCATTTGTACTAATATTCAACATGCACATACATAAGAAAGAAATGTAAGAATTATATATATAAAAAAAAATGTAAGAATTATAAATGATGGAAGAGTTTCTAAGTTGAAAATTTCGAAAAAAGAAAAATTTGACGTCCTACACATACAGTTAAAATGATTCCACTGATATTTGTTATGGACTACAAATGATGTTCTTCATTAGGAGAAGCTTTAATTAAATTTAATAAACATAAAATATATGGAATATATTATGTTATTAAAACTAAAAAAGATTTATGACATGAGAATTATCTTTAAAGGATCATTTGTTTTTTTTTTGTTTTTTTTTTCCTACATATTTGAAATTAAAGTGAAGTCAAGCATAAATCCTATCGGGCGAGTTAGGGCATATTAGATTTGTGAAGTTAAACACACTATTCAACTATAAGAAAGTGAGATCTGGCAATAAGATGGAACGAAATAATTTATTAAAATTTAGAGAGATGAGATGGCCAAGTAAAAAAAAAACTATCACAAGAACTCCCAAAGAGGAGAAATCATTATGTGCGGATGTCAAATACCGTCTGAAGAACAATTAGAATGAGCCACGTCGGTACCTCGATGCGGCACTTCACGGTACTGTGGCTCAATACCACTCAATATCAAACTCAATATTACTAATATGACTCATTTTGATTGATCTCTAAATATAATCCACACATATAATTTTCCCCTGAAGAGAGCCAAGTAGCCTTTGTGCACTCACCCTTTTCTTCTCATTTTATCCGTTCATTCTTAGCAATGCGAATATCAAAAGAGGGAACAATTATTACGTCCTCTGACCGGACGTAGAGCTACGTTCGGCCGCCAATAGCATGTCACCACGTGCTCTTACTCTTTACCGCGCGG